CTTTGACCGGAGGGTATCTCCGGCTAAAGTTTCGATTTCATACAGTCTTGAGCTTATTTTGTTATCATTATAACTGTTTACTTCATAAGAAGACTCGTTATTCTTTCGTCCTGGGTATGACGTTAAACTACATCCGGCAGTATGGCCTCTCATCGGGAGATTAGAGATTTTGAGAAGCCTGGAACCATCTCTTAATTGCTGTTGTCCCCAGGTTCACTTTGACCCGTGGAAGCACCTGTTAGGGGGTGGGGGTCCCAGCTATGGGTAAATAGTGAACGCCTAAACTAAAATCAAGACGATTAAAGTATTCTCTTCTTTAATGTTCTTTCGTCTCATTACTCCTCACTAAAATCTTCTCATTCTCTTTCACTCCAAGTACCCCCTTGCGCCATGGTGCAATTATCACCTTGCTTGAGGCGAAACGAGTAAAAACAAAGAAAATGATTCTGCATTTATTAGCTTGAAAGAAAGTTACAAAGATTGTGTTAGACCAATTTTCCGGATGAGGACGGTTCGCATTACTTTCTCCGCTATGAAACTCCTTCAGTTAACAAGCAAGGTAAATCATTCTCTCTCTCTCTCTCACTCACACACACTCTCTATCACTCTATATCTCCCTCTCTCCTTCCCTCCCTCTCTAGATAGAAAGATATCTGTGTGTATGTGTTTGTTTATAAAATAAAAGTCAACCAGTGTAATTTCGAGAAATAACACTTTTAAGGCAAGCAGACTTTGTAGTTATTGTGCTCGACATCGAGGAATCAAAACCACTCAAATTGAAACAGAAGTAGTCATCAATGAACAAAAATATATATATATATATATATATATATATATATATATATATATATATATATATATATATATATATAAATTATTATTCGAACCAGTTTACTGCGGTAGCCGGTGTACCTGGTGGGTGGTGGATCCCAAGATTTTGCTCTCGTACCCAAAATATCGCTCACATTTTTTTTTTTTTTTTTAGAAATTCCACCCTATTTTATCAAATTCTGGGCCATCTTCTAATTTGTTTTAATAATTAGACTCCTTTCTCAAACGTTGATGATCAAACACTCCAAATTTTACGAAATTTTAACACCCGGCTATTTCATACCTAATCCAATTGTATTGGTAATAATAACACATGATTACTTCAGATTTCTATTTCGCGCGCGATCAAAGAGTTCCTATAATATCGGATTAAATAACAGGAATTCAATCACTGCAATCAGATACCCCTGATGGGTTATAAATAGTACTTTTCTCTGGTTGATCATGTTCAATTTGAATGTCCAACAGTCAGTCAGTTATTCGATGAATAATAAATTTTTTACATTTTATTTAGAAAAAATTATTAAGTTTTAAATCTTTTAAAATTCTGTATTAATTTGAGCTTTTTAGATGATATTAAGTGAAAACTATATTTACTAATCATAAATGGATAATCTTTATAAAAATCATCAAGCAACAATATTTTGAAAAGAATTTTGAATTTCTGTATGTGTATATATGTGTTGGTTTTTGTAAGTTTGGGCGATCATACACAACATTATCAGAAAATAAGAGCGATAACTGTAATAAAATTAAAGCCAACTTTTGTAAAATTCAATAAAACATTAGATTACGGAGAATATTTTCTTAAATTTTTAAGATTACTGAGTACTTAAAAATTATATAACAATGGCACTAAGGTTATTTACGTCAATTGTGTTTTACAGATAAAGTCTCCGTAAAACAACATTAGACCTATCATAAGTTACTGTCGGTTTAAAAAAATGTATTTCTGCGATATTTGAAACTTAAAACTCAACTCGGTCTTCAAATAGGCTTTGTCGTCGCTGTCTTTGTCATTCTGTTGGTAATCTTTTTTTTCCGATAGATATTTCCATTTCACTCTTATATTAAAGATATAATTTTTTTACATGAAAAGATATAGAACTAAAAACGATTTATATAATACCAGGAGAAATCAATGAATCATAGTTACGTTTGGACTTCTAAAAATATATATAAAAGGAACGCATTAATTAAATTTTAGTTGTGGATTCTTTATCTCCGTTTTATTGGAACTCAATACATTGTTTCAAGAATTTTGTTTCACTGCGTCTCACTATTAAGACTTTCTAACAATTGCCGCCATTTCTGACGGCCCGAGTACACAAGAATTGTATATTTTCTTTACTGACAATTACAAGTTGGAACACTATTTAAGAATGAGTTATCAATAAAACTAATGACAAGGGTGAATATATTCTTTGGAAAATAATCACTCGATGAGTAGATTTGTTTTTCAAGGATTTAACTGTCAAGGCATAATTAAAAATTTAATTAAGATTAAAGATTTAATTAAGATTTTTATATTTTTTTTGTTTTAAATTAGCCCACAATGTATCAGCATTAATTTTGCAGGGAAATGGTGATATGGTGTATGATCCTGGATGTAATTTTCGATATATATATATATGTGTGTGTGTGTGTGTGTGTGTGTGTGTGTGTGTGT